CACTTCGACGCTTTTACTTGGGCGGATGGGATTGGTAAGAGTCAAATAACGTTCAGCCATCCTTTATGGGAAGGCGTTCCGCCTCTTAGCATCCTGGATGCCCAGGATAAGTTAGCCCTTCCTGAGGACCTAACCTAGAGGTCGGAAAGACACTTAAAAGTAAGGCCTTGTGTAAAGTTGAAAAGGTGCTTATATTAAGTATCTTCTCCAAAGGCACTTAAGCTAAGCTATTTTCGAAAAATGGTAGTAGATCTATAATGACTTCCAGCATGAGTGATGTAATTTTAAGTCCAAGTTACATCTGCACTTAATTCTGAAATCCATGTGGATGTCGAATAACTGTGCAGATTCTGATGCACCATGGTACATGTGATGGATTACTCAAGTAGAAGAACGTATTGTCTATCCGATTGTCCTGATGATATCTTAAGTAATGTGCAACATGTCGGGAAGGTTTCCACTTCGACTCTAAACAGACCGCACTTCATAGGCAGTTCCTTGTTTTTGTTAGCAGGTTCATGTGTACAAACATATAGTATCTTCAAGGAACCTTCGGCAGGTAAATACCGTGCTAAAGCCGATATTGCTCATGTTGCACTACTTGTGGGTTGTTGATGCTCATGATGCCTCGATGCTCATGTACTGCTGTCCGGAAGACTTCGCATCTCTGGTGCAGGGCCGGCTTTGAAATGCAGATACTCCCAACAGTTCATGATTTGTTGTCTTGTATCGATGCTGTGACAGCTTGCATGCTTGCGTGTGTGGCCCTACCCATCCGGCTTGCACTCGAGGCAAGTCTGTTAATACTGATCCTCGGGCATGACGGACACACCGCTGGCCGGGTGTGGGGCAGGCAAGCACCTTGGAGCCAACGTGCCTTTGAAGGCATATGACAGCACAGGCCATGAGCTAATGCGCTGTGCTGGGGTGCTCGAAATCCACAGGGTGTATAGGGGCTGGGAACTATCCTGGAAAAGTCCCAAAGGGTGAATCCGATCACACGGTCCATTCTGTAAAAAATAGCTCTTCGTTTATACATATATATATATACAGAATATGGGGTTGACTGTCAACGTCATCGATGGACCAAGATTGTGATTTTACCTTCGGGCGTTTACCAGGATTGGACTCACTCTGATACTCTCCTGGACTTTGCATATGCCGCTACTGGAGGGGAGGCCAGTGAAGCAATGTTTGTCACTTGCCTGGTCGATAAGCATTTTGTGATCACCCTATTCATGTTTGTACGAACATATCGACGCAAGAGAGTGTAGTGCCAGATCACCCGCCTTAGAATTTAAATAACCCCAAAAAACAGCAAGTCCGGAGTCTCTTGGTCCTGTGCAATATCCAACATGTGTATTGCAATGTATGACTCGTGTATTTTGGGTCGGTCTGGCCCGGCCTGGCCGTTGGCAAAGTTGAAGGGTCCGGGCTGCGGGGTTTGGGCCTTATTCACAAGCCTCAGGATCTTAAGGGTTTGGGGCTATTGTGGGGTTGGCTTCAAGGATGTTGGTTTAGGGATATTATTGGCTTTGGTTGTTGATATGGTATTTAAGAATTTGGGGTATATGCATAGGGGTAGAACGGTAAGACCACTTTCGTGTAAAAACCTGACAAGTCTGATTAGTTATGTTTGCAGCATAATGTTGAAATGAAAACGAAAGGTCTTCAGCGCTTAACGCTGATCGAGGTATGCCGATCGTGTAGATTCCATTATACTAATTGTATTTACAACTGGTGTATCGGTTGTGTGCTTGGACTGACAGCTGATGTCTTAGCATTTACGATTTCGCAGGTTATAATTCAGTACTTTGAACATTTTGATACCAGGTTTCGCGGCAAAAGTTTCGGGGTTTCGGTCTTCGTGGAGGGCTGGAGCTTGTTCATGAGGTGGCAAACCTCTGTGCGCACTAATTTAAAGGTCACTGCTCGGTTTGCTTCTGCAAACGATTGCCCAACCATTTGGGAGAAGCCAGTTAATCTATTCTATTCGGCATATATTCGTTATTTAGTTGAAACATTGTGCCGAGATACTAATACACTTTCTCGCTATAGGTACTCAAAAGCTAACCGCACCATGTCAGGAATAGGTATATATGCAACATTTATCTCCATGGTTAGCGACATATGCCGGTGTATAGCAATTGTTGTCGTGCAATGTTGCAACCCTCAGCAGTGGATATGCATTAATGGAGTCTAGACGAAGTCTCGGCCCCGGAGTTGAAGTACGAAACTGCTTTCGGGTCTTGAGGAGATAGGATTAGGTTTGATGGTGTGCTGAAGTCAGGTACGAATTGTTCTTTAGCTTCCAAATGTCTACCATGTCCTTGCATGATTTCTTCAAAGCTTTCGAAAACTGTTGGGGTAGCAAGACAGTCCCAAACCTACTGTGTTGTAACTGTTCTAACCGATACCCTTGGAGTCACGAAGCCCCTGAAGCTGGAGTCTTTGTTTTTATGTTTGGTGTCGAAGCTTCGAGTACTCTTTTGGGTTGGGCCTCTATATAGCCGTCGGGCTTACACTTATTTGCTTGGGATGGTTTACTTAACTTTCAGCTAGATTCTGTGTCCAGTGAGTGATTTAGCAACTGGGAAAAACTTGGTAGAGTGTGGTTCAGACTAGTCGTGTCTACGTCTGTACTCGAACCCAGGATATATTGTCCTAAAGACATAAGACTAAATGAATAAAGCGAAGGTTCCTTCCATCGACAGCAGAGATGCTTATTGCACAGTGATTGTCACTGAAGTTGTAATTTCGTGTTCGTGTTAAACCAAAGCTTAAGCCGGCTCAACTGAATTCCAACTCCCCAAATACTCACAAAATGTTAGCACTTCTTGATGTTTGTAGCAGTGGTTGCGATCTGAGTGAGAGTTTGGATTAAGACTTCGGTGTTTGCGACTTTCAGACCTGAGCTTTGTGGTGCTTAAGCGGTCTTCATTACCTTTGTTGATCTTGAGGAAAACAACTCCCAACAGCCAACTCGCAGGCCCACATGCTTCCTGAAATAACTTCACTAGAATCCCCTGAAGCTGTTATCTGTGGAGTCTTCAAGCCCTGAAACCATGAACTGGTAAGCCTGCTAAACCTGCAAGCTCGCAGCCCCAAGCTAGATGCTGCTGAAGGCCCAGGAATCTGTAGGTTCTATTATATTTACGATACACGTAGGACCTCTAGTCAGCTTGAGGCTATATGGCTTTTGTAGTGTGAACTCTCAGGTGTGCGAAGTAGACGACAGCTCAGTTTGCTTGCAGGAGCATTTCCCAGCTTGTAATTTAAGTCGATATGTCTACAAGAAACCGAAACAAAAGACTAGTCACTAGTTGAATCGTGTTCCAAAATGGAAGTTTTCTTCGGGATAGGCTGCAGGTTGACTCCTGTAAAGATCAGATACTACATGATCGGTGCATGGTTCGAGACGAGCTGGTGCCCAGCTTTCGAAGTGTGTGTGGAAAAAGCCAAAATGGATTCAACTGCAGCAGCATCAGCCCTACTCTGTTTTGCATAGTGGTTCATGTCCGCACGGGCAATAGTTCAGTCGCAGCAGATTCATGATCTGATCACACATCATATGTATCGGACCACTGGAAAGCTTCACCATGGTATGTTAACAAAGAAAAGGGTCGATGTGAAGCTGGCCATGGACTCGAGCCGGTGAGGTGCCGGCCTCTAGCACGACATAATGATATGGACACGGGGCTTGACACGAGGCTTTCACACAGAATTGTAGGGGCTATGCCTTAACAAATAGCCAGGTGCAATCCTGGAGTGTATCTTCGATGGTCGACTGACATCAATATGAAGGTGTGGCTGGCGATTTGTAGGTGCCTCGCCACGCATGCTTCCCGTGCTAGGCCCGTGGTCGCACTTTGGCTGAGCTCAAGTGGGAGGACGACTTGTGGACAGGTGCCTCCCGCCACTCCATGCATTTCCCATGTACACGGGTGATGTGGTCTGAATACATGTGCTCATGCATGTGTTGCTGCATGTGTGATTCAAACTGCGACCCCTGTGAACCTCTGCCGCTGGATGGTTTTGCAGCAGTGCCGATTCGAGAGTGTGTCTTGACATCTGTACTTCATTCGACCTGGGTGTATGTTCTAGCATCTTACCTTGACTGTGCAAAGAATAAGAATGTTATTTGGATTCGCACATCTTTGTGGAAATTCAAAACGTTCTCGATCGGCAATCTAATTAGTAGTTTTTTTCTCTGGGTCTTCAAAGACTCAGAGACTTCTCGACCATGCTGAGTATGGATACTGATGATCTACCAGATTGCAGCCCCGAGTTTCATGAGGAGGTCAAGTGCATGTCTTCGAAATTTCAACAAGAACCCAGCCTTCAAAATGAGACTTGGGATGTATTCATATCGACCGATCATACCATCCTTGTCCGTACGCTCTCATTACAATGAAGCCGAGCCGAGGTCGGATTCAATCTGTTGATTGACAGAACCGGTCGCCTTTTGCGATCCAAAACGAGTGTGTCCCGGAAGGATGTGATCAACAACCCCCGGGCCCAGGGCTTATTCGTTTCAGAGGGTTTCTGAGGCATGCAGGTTTCTAGAAGTTCTTGATTTTTTAGTCTGTTAAATTAATTAGCAGTACATGACGGGCCAACAGTATACACAGCATGAAGTCTGCTTGCACACTACAAGGTATGTCGTTGCTGCGACGTGCCAAAACCTAGAGCTTGACATGCACCTCTGAGTGTCTGTGTGTACGTAACATGTATTCGTACTTTACAGTGTGTTTGTTTTGTGACATGTGTCAAGCTGGGTGGGGGTATTTGGATACATAGCATACTTATTTGGTCAGTCCAAGACGGCTTTAGGATTAAGGTCTAGGGTCTAGGGATTCGGGTTTAGGCTTAGTTTTTAAGGGAATATGTGTTGGAGCTAGTCTTGGTCCAGACTGCCTGGTGTCTGCTGCTACAATTCTTGTACACTACTGCTGCTACTGTTGCTGCTGATGCTGCTGCTGCTGCTGCTGCTGGCACCGGCTGAAGTCGAGGTTGTCGCTGCTGTGATCCGCGGCTCCTCGCGCAAGCGCAAGCGATATTCGGCCCACATCATCAGCAATGCAATCTTACACTGGTACAAGGTGAAGAATCTAACCCCCAGAGGGGTGAGCACCCAGGCGGCTAGTGTCAAGGATTGGTCTCTCCGATGTGCAAATGCCACGCGGAAGCTTGTCAGACCCTTACTGAAACATATCTGGGCTTATATAGGACCATCCACAATCATAGCCTAGACTCTTCTGCTGGCTCGCTAATGATTGCAAGGCTTCCCTCTTCAAGAAGCTCTGTCGGAAAACGGATGCATCCAACATGAAGGCCATGCAAGAGCTCAAGACGGAGCTACTCCCTTTCCTTCCGCGCAAGAAGAACCAGGCAGACTCGGAGGATGCCTTCAGCAGTTCGCTCGTGCTTGCATGTGAGTCTTCTTGTCGCTTAATAATTAGAAATGCGAGAGGACTCCAGCGATGACAGTGCATCAGAAGTGGACACCAATGAGCTTGACAGCTTATCATCCCTCAGTGTACATGAATCCATGAACACACCAGTATCTGGACTGAATGTGGCTTGCAGTAAGCTGACTCTGGGGATCAGTTGAAGGTGAACAGAGGCTGCATTGCATCCCGAAGGGTTGATCGGATAAGAGGGCGATCCCCATCTTGATCTGAGGCTTCGAAGAAGACCCTGCCTTCGTCTTCAACCCCTCCGAAAGGGGATCGTCCTCATCGTCTGCAGCACCTTGGCTCATGCGATGCCCAGGAACTATGATTTTAACAAAGCATTGTACCAGACTGAACAAGCCTGAACCGGCTCTTGCAAAACATGATACACTTAAGGGAGATCCTGCAGAAGGTGAAGGCCAAGAGTGGCTCACGGGATCTCGGGGCTATTGTCAAGAAGCTGAGGCTTGATCTCAATAGCCCTCCGAAGAAGGTTCTATCCGATCCAGTGTCGCCGACATCCGAATCCGAAGCACAGCCCGAAGCACCTGCCCCTAAGCCTACGTGCAACAAGTATGTGTTGCCCCCATCGGTGCCTTGTCTAGCAGATGCATTTTTTGCGATGTGAGGTCTTTTGGGTTTCAGGTTTTCAGCGGGCTTAGGGCTAGAGGTTAGGATTGAGACGAGCATGCAGGAACAGGGGAGGTCTTTGGATGTTCGGTTTCATGGTCTTGAGGCTTCGGTAATCGGGCTTTTTTGGCTATACAAGGCCCTACAACCCTCAACCCCAGAATCCAAAATAACCTTACGAACCATCGATTCTGTAATCAAGAACCCGGCCGATAACCCTACCAACCCACAACCCAGCAGCCTTCGTCTCTGACCTCAATCGCCCTCAGCCCTAGCACCTGTGATCCCTTATCAACCTTAGCCTTAGCCTTTATGTCAACCCACCTGAGCCCAACCCCTTATATAGCCTTGAAGCTAGACTGTAATCTTGGTGTAAGGGTGTTTTGTGGGCTGAGGTGTAATGTAATAGTAAACCTTTTAGTTGCACACCTGAATCATTTGATGCTGTTGTGTGAAGCTCTGAGCTTGTGCTATGAAGTTTAGGCCAGCATAGGCTACGGACCTTCTCGTTCGGGTCGTTTCCCTTGCTGCTTACACTGTTTTCAAATTTCGTAGGTTTGATGCTTCTGAAAAAATCCGAAATCTCATTGAGTCTAGCCAGAAAGTCCGAACTTCATTCACCACAAGCACAAACTTCAAAACACCAGTCCTCTGTGATCTTTACTTGGAACCCTTCTGTACCAAAACCCTGTGGTCTGTAGGAGTATATGTAGATATAGCTGAGAAATAGCACCCCACCCCAAAGATGCTAGATCGCAGTCACAACCCCCGGTGTCTAACCTTACTTCCTAATCTACTTACTTACTACTTCACCACCTAAACCCTTCCCTTCCATCGCTCGGATCAGGTGCTCGAGAGCTTGAAGTCCATCGGCCCGATGAAGACGCAGCCTTTCCTGCCCAATGTTCAGTCGCTTGTCAGAGGCTTCAGCTGATGCTTCAGCTGATTCTAGGGCTCGGGGTTCTTGCTTGCTAGTCTGCCTGTCAGTAGCAATCGATCGAGCGACATGTTTGCTAGTGAGGTGGAAAAGTGGAAACGTCACAGAAGATGCTGAGGGCGGCTGTGAGGATTGGGAGGCTGGTGGTACGCAAAAGAAGAAGAGGTCGAAAGGGCCTGCCAAGAAAAAGGGTGCCAAAGGAAAACCTGTGCAGAGTGAGGAGAGCACCCCCTCGAAAGAGAAGCCCAACAAAAGGATGATGGTTTTCGGGAAGTACACTCCGGGAAAGTTTGCTCAGGCCCGGAAAAGCTACATAGCTCGGATTAAGGACACCTGTGGCTACAGAGAGGCTTGCAAGCGCTGGAACAATTCAGATGAGAAGTGGGAGCTTCTCAGTGAGATGCCCCATCAGGAATTGGTTCGCCGTCGCTTCCTGCCCCCGCAAAAGTCTTGCTAGGTGCATGTCGTCATTTAATTTCTTCTTCGGCACGTAGTTTTTTTTTTACTTCCTTGCATGTGCAAAACTGTGGAGATCTCCACTGCGAAGTTAATCAATATGTCATTGCTGGATTCAAACCTGCATGCGCGTGTGCGATGAAATCAAAGTCGCTTCTGTGTGGGTGCACGTGTCTGTGCCTGTGCACTCATTTCTTGGCTGCTGTGTTCTCAGCATGCATGAAGCAAGCCAGGTGATTCGAGTTTTTTGGCTGACAGCTTTCTCAGTCTTCAAGACTGAGTGCTAGGCTTGTGAAGGATGGTTGTGGCCGAGCTCCTCAGTTGGCGTGCCCCAATGTCCTTGATTTTGCTGTTGGTGCTGATGTCATTCAACCCCCTTCTGGATCAGAGAGAGGACTGGTGTGGTAGGTAGGTAGGTAGGTAGGTAGGTAGGTAGGTAGGTAGGTAGGTAGGTAGGGAGGTAGGTAGGTATAGGTATAGGTATAGGTATAGGTATAGGTATAGGTATAGGTATAGGTATAGGTATAGGTATAGGTATAGGTATAGGTATAGGTATAGGTATAGGTAGGTACGTAGGTAGGAAGGTAGGTAGGTAGGTAGCCAGGTAGCCAGGTAGGTAGGTAAGTAGGTAGGTAGGTAGTCAGGAAAGCAGGCTGATTGGAAGGTTTGAAGGGTAGAAGGTTGGTAGGTTGTGGTTCGCAGGTAGGTTGGTGGGTTGGTAGGTTCGTGGGGGTGTACCCATCTACCTAAATCCCCTGCCCACCTACCTACTACCCCTAAACCCTAAACCCTGAACCCTGAACCCTGAACCCTAAACCCTAAACCCTAAACCCTATGCATCGACCCACCACCTCCTACCTACCTACCACCTATACCTACCTACCCACCTACCTACCTACCCACCCACCTACCTACCTAGCTACCTACACCCACCTACCTACCTACCTACCTTCCTACCTGCTGACCTACCTACCTACCGACCTACCGACCAACCTATCGATGGATTATTGTCCACAGGCTCATACATGAAGTCAGCACGTGCAAGCAGGCGCATGCGCAACTCTGTATGATCTATTTGGCTCCGTCAGGACAACGACTTTGTCGAGTTGTTCGCTGGTGATGCTGAGGTCACTGCAAAACTACGGCAGGACACTCTCTCAAGCAAATGTAATTGCCTTTGTTTGCTGTCCTAAACTAAACATCACTCCCTTCCTTGAAGGATGGTCGCCATGGTGTTGGCATGGATATTATTGATGACCCCATGGCCTTCGACCTCACCTCTGATGTTGGGTTTATCTTGGCGATTAATGAGGTGAGGCGTCTGAAACGTGGTGGATGCTGCATCATAGGCCTTTGCTGCGAGTCCTTCAGTGCTATGTTTCTTGCCTGTAAAGCATTGATGCAGTATGTCCTGTACGTGTTGTGTCGTAGCGATGAATTCACGTGATTGCTGAAGTATTCAATTAAGGTCACGGGCCACGAGTGGCCGAACAGTTGTTCATCCACTGGGCAACTATGGGTATGACTTTGTGAAGAAAGGAAACCTGCTGTTTGCCCGAACCATTATCCTTCTCATGATGTGTTGCTACAAGCAAGCCCGCTTTCTTCTGGAACAGCCTGCTGGTTCCATCCTCCCAGAACATCCACGGTGGGGTTGGTTCATACAGCGTGTGTCGGTGCTTTGGCTGCTTCTATTGTCGCCACAGCCTGTCTGTGAGTGTTGCAATTCAGTGTGGGACAAAAAACCATGTTGGGCTATGTTGGGCTGAGGTTTTCCGTGGCTACTGGTGGATGGCAAAGTTCGGAGGACCGTCGCCTAAGAGGCACCTGGGATGGTCCAATGACGAGGGCTTCATGCAAATGCTGATGGATGCTGGGGGATACTTGAGTGCCGATGAAAGGCGGTCTTTGGGCACTACTAAAACTGTGAAGCGTGGTGTTTCGGCTTCTGGTGGAGAGACCTACACGGGTGTGAAGAAGTTCCTCAAGAGAAGCCAGTCATCTGACTGCATGCATCAGATAACTTGATTTTGAACTTGATGTTGATCCTTAGCTCTACAATGCAACCCTACATTCAAAAAACATTCCCAGGGCTTGAGACTTTCAAGCAAAACATCCCCAAAGCCGGTCGCTGCTTTCCTTGGGCTTTATGTTTCAAGAGCCGGGCTAAGTATAGCATCGAACCTCACCCTCCTCGGAGCATCCCGAGTACGGAGACACATATAACACAAGCATGCAAGGAAGTATCCGCCGATGTTTGCCTACAAGATTGTGGATGTCTTTCGGGCACGATTGGGTGTTGCTCGGTGCATATGGTAACACAACAGACATTTGCCGGCAGTGCTCAGGCATATGATTGTGATTTCGGAGCCTCACAACTCCTAACCTTTGCTGAGGCTGAGCTTCTGCCGCCGAAGGACCCGTACCGTGTGGACATGGCCAAGACCGACTTCGAGCTGTTCCGTGATCACATGTCTGACTTGGACAAGGATACTTTTGATGATGTTCCTCCACAGCATTAGCTACTCTTTTCAAGCCCGAAACTGGTGAGGGAGAGAGCGCGCCAAAACAACAAAATGTAGTTTGCTGGGGTGGGGGGTTCCGGCCCAGTGCCACACAACCCCCCTTTGGAGGCTTTTTTTTCAATGTATGTATTGTATTTTTTTTTTTTGGGGGGGGG